TAGTATTATTACTATTAATATTAATAATATTAATATTGATATCATTAACATGATTATTATTGATATTGATATTAATAGTAATATAATTATAATTATAATTATATATTATATGTAATTATTATATTTAATATAATTTTATTAAATTTATATTTTAAATTATATTTTATTTTATATTATATACAATATATATAATACAATTATATATATTATATAAATTATTTTGTATTATATTTTATATTTAAAATTACATTTTTTATTATTATTATTAATAATAATAATACTAATTGTTATTGTTGTTGTTATTGTTATTATTATTATTATGGGACAAGAGAAAAACCGCTCTCAGAACATCCGTGTCACTGCTTTGAGAATTCAGATCTTATTTTCACACCAACCCGCGGGAGAGCAAAGTTTCCCTGGGGAATCCGAGCATCCCCTGGGAGCCTGGAGCTCTCCAAGGCTCAGGGAATCCCATCCCCGTGTCCCGTGTCCCATGTCCTGTGTCCCATCCCCGTGTCCCATCCCTGTGTCCCATCCCCGTGTCCCATCCCCGTGTCCCGTGTCCCATGTCCTGTGTCCCATCCCCGTGTCCCATCCCTGTGTCCCATCCCCGTGTCCTGTGTCCCGTCCCCATGTCCCATCCCTGTGTCCCATCCCCATGTCCTGTGTCCCGTCCCTGTGTCCCATCCCCGTGTTCCGTGTCCCATCCCCGTGTCCCATCCCCATGTCCCATCCTTGTGTCCCATCCCTGTGTCCCATCCCCATGTCCCATCCCCGTGTCCCGTGTCCCATGTCCCATCCCTGTGTCCCATCCCTGTGTCCCATGTCCCTGTGTCCCGTGTCCCATCCCCGTGTCCCATCCCTGTGTTCCGTGTCCCATCCCTGTGTCCCATCCCTGTGTCCCGTGTCCCATCCCTGTGTCCCATCCCTGTGTCCCATCCCCGTGTCCCATCCCTGTGTCCCATGTCCCCGTGGCTGCAGGAGGACAACCACAGCTATTACGTGTCGCGGATCTACGGCCCCGGGGACGCGCGGCGCGGGCGGCTCTGGGTGGACATGGCAGCGGCCAACGGGAGCCGAGCCCGGATCCACGGGATCCTCTCCAACACGCACCGGCAGGCCTCGGTGAGACTTGGGGAGCCTCGGTGAGACTTGGGGAGCCTCGGTGAGACTTGGGGAGCCTCGGGGAGACTTGGGGAGCTTTGGGGAGCCTCGGTGAGACTTGGGGAGCCTCGGTGAGACTTGAGGAGCCTTGGGGCACCTTGGGGAGCCTTGGGGAGCCTCTGTGAGTCTTGGGGAGCCTTGGGGAGCCTCTGTGAGTCTTGGGGAGCTTTGGGGAGCCTCGGTGAGACTTGGGGAGCCTCGGGGAGCCTTGGGGAGCCTCGGGGAGCCTCGGGGAGCCTCGGGGAGCCCTGGGGAGCTTTGGGGAGCCCTGGGGAGCCTTGGGGAGCCTTGGGGAGTCTTGGGGAGTCTTGGGGAGCCCTGGGGAGCCTCGGGGAGCCCTGGAGAACCTCGGGGAGCCTTGGGGAGTCTTGGGGAGTCTTGGGGAGCCCTGGGGAGCCTCAGGGAGCCCTGGGGAGCCTCGGGGCGCCTTGGGGAGCCTCGGGGCGCCAGCCACGTGCTCGGAGAGTGTCGGGGATTGGGAAGTGTCTGTGGGCTCACCAGGCATTCCGGGGAGGAAGGAAGATGTAGGATTCCTCTGCCATCCTTTTTTTCCCATCCTTTTTCCCATCCCCTTTCCCATCCCCTTTCCCACCCCTTTCCCACCTCTCTCCCAGCCCTCCCCACATTCCCAGCGCTGTTTTCCCGAGGGCAGGGCTCGGTTCTCACCTCCCCTCTCTCCCAGAGGATCGTCCTGTCCTTCGATTTCCCGTTCTACGGCCACCTCCTGCGGCAGGTCACCATCGCCACGGGCGGTGAGCGGGGACCCGGCACGGCCGGGAGAGCAGGACGGGATAACGGGACGGGATAACGGGACGGGATAGTGGGATGGGATAACGGGATGGGATTAGGGGATGGGATTAGGGGATGGGATAATGGGATGGGATAGCGGGATGGGATAGCGGGATGGGATAGTGGGACAGGATAATGGGATGGGATTAGGGGATTGGATTAGGGGATGGGATAACGGCATGGGATAATGGGATGGGATAGCAGGACAGGATAATGGGATGGGATAACGGGATGGTGTGGATTCCTAAATTTGCCCTAAACCAGGACAAATATGATGATGGGATGGGATGGGATGGGATGGGATGGGATGGGATGGGATGGGATGGGATGGGATGGATGCGATGCCCACAGGGGGGCTCTGGTGCTGGCTCTAACCCACCCCACATCCCGGAGCTCGGAGAAGGGGGCACAGCCCTTCCAACCTCCCCCTGCACCCCAAATCTCCCCGGGGCGTCAGGAGCTGCTGCTCCCTCTGTTCCTGCAGAGACTGGGGGGACACGGGGGGGGGTCACTGGGGCTCGGAGGAAACCCAGAGGGGCAAAAAAAGGGCTGGGAGAGGCAGAGCGGGGTGGTGGGAACGGGGCGGGGAGGGGGAGCCCGCGCTGCTTCATCCTCTGCCCGCTCAGGTTTTATCTTCGTGGGGGACGTCATCCACCGCATGCTCACGGCCACGCAGTACATCGCGCCCCTCATGGCCAACTTCAACCCCAGCTACTCCCGAAACTCCACCGTGCAGTACCTGGACAACGGTGGGGGCCGGCTCCGGCCGCCTCCCTCTGCCCCTTCCCCATCCCCGGGCTCCCGGAGGGGCTGGGGGCTGCGGGGAGGGGTCCTGGGGGATGCGCAGCCCCCGGTCAGGAGCTCGGGGATGTTTCGCTCGGGTGGGGGCAGAGCTGGGGGCTCACGGGGGGCAGGAGAGGACGGGTGGGGCCGGTGAGATGAGGAGCAGGGGGAGAGGGAAGGACTGAGCGGCTCTGGTCACCCCCAGGGACGGTGTTTGTGGTGCAGTGGGACAAGGTTTATCTGCAGGGCAAGGAGGACATGGGCAGCTTCACTTTCCAGGCCGCCCTGCACAGCAGCGGGAGGATCGTCTTCGGCTACAAGGAGGTGAGAGAGGGGTCCCTCAAGGGCCAGGAGGGTCCCTGGGGGTTCCCTGGGGTCTGGGATGGGGGGTTGGGTATTCCCGGAGCCGGGGCAGGGCTGGGATCTGTCACATTCTCCGTTCCCGGCGCAGATCCCGGTGCCGGTCCTGCAGATCAGCGCCAGCCAGCACCCCGTGAAGGCCGGGCTCTCCGATGCCTTCATGGTCCTCAACCCCTCTCCCGATGTCCCTGGTGAGTCCCTGGAGGAGCTGCCGGGGCGGGGAAGGAGCTGATCCCACGGGGAGTGGTGAGGGAGAGGTGCGGGATCCTCGGCTTTGGGGATTTGGGGATGTGAGGATGCCCCGCTGGAATTCCCAGGGAATGTGAGGAGGCGTTTGGGGTTCTGCTGCCCCTCGTGCTCCCTGATTTTTGGGATCCCTGTTTGGGATCCATGCTCCCCATGCCCGTGACCATCCTTTGGCCTCGGAGCTTTGCTCCGTGAGCAGCCGAGCTCTTCCCTGGTTCCCAGGAGACAAATCCAATTCCTCTTCCATCCCAAAGGGAGCTGCAGGCGGAGGAGAGGCTCAGGGCGTGCAGGGTGCCCCATTCCCATAGAAAAGGGAGGTTTGGGGGGTCTGCAGTCGCCCCGGTGCGTGTCAGGGATCCGCAGGATGTGGGAATTCTCACATCCACGTTTATTCCCCGTGCGCCCTGAGCTGCAGGGCTCCCCAAAAAATCCTCTCAGGTCACGCAGAGCCCGACCCCGCTCCTCCCTCCCGATTTTCCCGTTATTCCCGGAGCCATCTGGCGCTGCCCGCGGTTCCTCCCCTCCGGCCCCGCGGGATTCCCGAGCGGGCAGGGGAAGCCGGGTGGGTTTGGAGGGATGGAGAGGAGCGGGGGATGCTCGTCCTGGAAGGAGAGCTGGGATTTCCCGCGGGGATAAACCGGGCTGTGTCCCGGGACAGAGCCCGGGGTGGAGGAACGTGGGGCAGGAGGGGATTTTGGGGGGAGGCTCCGGTGACTCAGAGCCCGGCGATGTTTGTTTGGGAGCGGAGCAGGGCTGGAGCGCATCCCTGCTCGGAGAGAGGGGCAGGGAGAGCTCCGAGCTCCTCCGGGCAGGGCAGGAGAGGGAATCTGTGCCCTGGCACCCCCCAAAGGGAAAACCCCACCCCTGGGGCTGCCCCGAGCCCTGGTGGGGCGCAGCCCCGGGCAGAGGGGGTTTGTACCCGCTCTGAACCCCGGGCTCCGCTGCAGAGTCCCGGCGCCGGACAATCTACGAGTACCACCGTGTGGAGCTGGACACCAGCAGGATCACCAGCCTGTCCGCCGTGGAGTTCACCCCACTGCCCAGTGAGTCCCAGAGCCCCTTCCCAGCCGGAATTCCAGCCACAAACCACGATTCCCAGCCCAAGGGGGCAGCCAAGGCTGGGCCAGAGGTGCTGGGAGGGTGATGCCGCCCATCTCCCGGAGTCTGGGGTCCATGGAGCCGTGGAGAGAGGGGGTGCTGTCAGCAGGGAGCAGCTCATCCCACCCTGGGGTATTTGGGGAGAAGCTCACCCCGTCCTGGGGTATTTGGGGAGCCCCACATCCCCACCCTGGGGTATATGGGGAGCCCCACGTCCCCACCCTGGGGTATTTGGGGAGCAGCTCACCCCGTTCTGGGGTCCCCAGCTGTCGCTGAAGCTCTCCCACACCCAGCCCTGCCTGGATGGATCCGGGATGATCTCGCAATCAACCTCAGCCAGCAGAAATCCCAAACCCCTCGCGTTTGCCAGCCCAGCTCAGGCAGGAGGCCGGGACGCAGCCCAGGAAGGGCTGATAAAGGAGGGATCTGCAGGAAATCCCTCTTCCCTCTGCTCAGAGCTCCCCAAAAAGGGCCGAGGTCGGTGGTCCCAGCCCCCCGTGGCCGGGGGGGGACACACGGGGGCCCCAGGCTGTGCCCACCCCTCAATTCCTCCCAGCTCTTCCCACTAAAACCCCTTCCCAGCTGACTCTGCTGGACACCAGCTCACTCCAGCTCTGTCTCCAAGACATTTCCAACGCCTCCACACCCGGCTGAGGTTTCTGGGAGGCTCCTCGAGCGGATTTTTAGCTGCTGGATCCAAGGACAGGCGGGCACACGAGGCAGAGCCGCCCGTAAATCCGGGCTGAGGGTAAATCTGCCTCGGAGACACCCAGGGGCTGCGTTAAACGCCCTCCCCGCGGTGTTTGATGACAATTTTAGCAGCAGGCAGGTTACTGCAAGCTGAACATAAATAACCATTCTGCAAGAGCTCTCTATTTTTTCCCTGGTTTGTTTTTTTTCCCCCTGTTTTTCCCCCGGCAGCTCGGGGAGATGGGAGCTGCAGAGGAGCCACCACCAAACCGGGGGGGTTTCAGTCGGGGGGGTTCAGTTTTTAGGGGTTTTTTTGGGTCAGAAAGGAGGGATTTGGGCTCTGCCTCCTGCTGCAGAGGCCTGAGGTCGCTCCCTGCCTCGGGAAGGGCTCGGGGTGGGAGAGGAGCTGAGGATTGGGGAGGGTGGGCAGGTAGCCCAAGGCTGGGGGAGCTCGCCCAGGCTCCAGGGGCAGAGCTGGGGGCTCAGGGAGGGAGAACCTGGAGGTGGGGAGCTGCTCCAGGTGTCCCAGGGATGGGAACACAAAAATCACATTTTGATATTATTATATAAATGTGCTTTTATTAAAGAGCTCTGAGCCTCAGGGGCACGCAAACCCAAATGTGACCCCGTTTGGTTTTGAGCTGAACATGTTTTATACTCTATTGTGTTTTATATAATATAATAAAATTAATAGAATAAATATAATAAAAAATAATAAAATAAAAATAAAAAAATAAAATTAATATAATAAAATTAATATAATAAAATTAATATAACATAACATAACAACATAACATAACATAATATAATACAATATAATACAATACAAATAATATAATATAATATAATATAATATAATATAATATAATATAATATAATATAATATAATTAATATAATATAATATAATATAATATAATATAATATAATATAATATAATATAATATTATATATATTTTTATACTCTATTGTGAATATAATATATAATATAATATAAATCATATATATTATATATATTTTTATACTCTATTGTGAATATAATATAATGTAATATAATGTAATATATATAATCTAATCTAATATATATAATATAAAACAAAATAGAGTATAAAATACATATTTTATATAATATATATACTCTTTCTACATATATACTTTCATATTAATCATTAAACTTCCATTGTTCTATTCTATACATTGATTTTACCCAACCATATATTTCTCATGATCCCCCCCAAACCCCTAACACAGTTTCTCATGATTCTTTAAACGATAATTATTGTTTCTTTATTATTTATTATTATTATTTAATATATAATATTACATAATTATTATAATTATTAATAATATATTAATATAATAATAATA